AGCATCTTTGTTTTTGAGAACAAAAAGCACCAGTGACATGCCTGCTCTTTCAGTCTGACGGAGGAATGAGCTCATTCCTTCATGATGAGGTCATGAGATGGTACCTGATGTGGTAAAACCTGTCAGAAAGGAATTTGTTCTGTCAGACTTGCAAGCACATAAATTAGTCCTTTAATTGACTTGTTGATTAACAAAAAATAAATAAATGGCGTCTCGACTGTTGTTGCCAAAGACATGAGGTTGATATCAAGGAAATGCTGTACGCACTACCGTCTCGTGCTATGCATAGTTTTCAAGAGTTTTAGGTCTAAAATAAATTGTGTTTTGCTTTCCCGTCACTTGTGTCATGTGTGTTATGCAGCAAAACAATTCTTTTACCCCTCAGGTCACCGATACAGCCGTTTCTTGGAATTATCTTTTTCCTAACGTATTGCATTTGTTTTTACTGCAACCTCCAGTTGTTTTAGGCAATGCGAAACCTCAGTGAAAATAAGGCAGGAAAAACATCACAACTTCCTTGACCTCCCTCTGCACACTGAATGCTTTGCCACTCAAAAGGCTGGCAATAGGCCCGACAGTGCACCCTTTCCCTCTGGGGCCTTACATAAGGGGCGGAAAATTGAAGCTGCGGGGTGTGTGTGTGTGTGTGTGTGTGTGTGTGTGTGTGTGTGTGTGTGTGTGTTTGCAAGCCTAAAACTAGGAAGACAAGGCCTGCTATTGTTTAATTTGTATCCTGGATAGGAAATGCCTCCACTCGTCTTACTGCATTGCACTGCTACCATCTGTCTTACAAATGACTCTGTAGAGTGATGACATACTGTGTTGCATCAGGGAAATAACTGAGGGACTTCACAAAGAGGTTCAGTGGCAGTATGTAAATGGTATGTGAGGAACGTCGTGGCTAGTTTTGCACAAACAGCTTTGAAGCATCCCCGGGGCTTTACAGAGCACAAACAGCATCTTGGTATGTTTTTCCTCCTGTGGGGGCCACCTGTGTGCTTGGAAGGATTAGTTTTGAAAAGGAAGGGGGAGGGATTAGATGGCGTCACTGAGTGCAGCCTGGGAGTTTGAGCTGCCAGAAGTTTTTGAGGTTTTTTTTCTTTTCTTTTTAAAAAAAAAAAAATGAACAAGCTTTGTCTTTAGACAAACAATGAGGAGAATTTTTGGCTAGACGCAGCCTTCATCAGCATGTCCTAGTTTCTGCTGCCCACTGCTCTTTCCTTCCTGTCTCTGTTCGAGGAGAGAGTGGCTGAGACGAAGCATCAACAGAGCAGTAAAAGAGCATGAAGCAAGCATCACCTAAATGATGAAAGTTTATATCAAAGGGCCTTCATTTTGATTTTGGATCTAGGAGAAAGAGTGATAATAAAATCAGCTTTTACAAGTCTGTGCAAAGGCTTCAAATAGTGAAATAAAACAAATGAATTTTATTAAAAAGCACCGTTTGGTTTGAATTTGATGCCATGGTCCGCACTCTGAAACTTTCATTTATCGTTTTCCTGTGTACTTTGTGGTGATCGTGTTTGGCTCAGTGTAAATAGAGACCAGTATTAGAAAGAAAATCCAACCGGAAAATGTAAGGCTCAGGGAGTGGAAAAGATGGGGTCCATTACATTCTTTCCATACGGTCAATCTAAAATATTTGAGACTGAAGCCACAATTGATGGTTCTGCATATTTCTTTCTGCTAGGCGGTGTTTCAGTGGCGCTGTTTTATTCACCGTTATGTCACTGTGAAAAGGAGGTTTAAGAAAACCCTGCAACCCTGCCATCTAGTGGTGTCTTTTGGTTTGAATTCTGTGTCTATGCTTAAGTTAGAGCAGTTATTATTAGTATTTTATTTTTTATTAACCCAGTATATGCTAAATGTTCCCCAAACCAAGATAATAATGCAAACAATGCAACCAAGTTCCTGTTTAGAGGTATTTGTAGTGGCGATGTTGCTGTTGCGGGGTTTGTGCTTTTACCATTGCAAAGCCACCAACATGCATTATAAATATAATGACCTAATGTGTCAGAAGGTCATGCACACACCCAATGTTACAGAATTTGCAACAAAAGGCTGTAAAAGAAAACTAGAGTTTTCTTTAACGTAATGTAAAGAAATGTCTTTAGTGTTGCTGCTTTTGTGCTGTGCAGGTAGCACATAGGATGAGTTTGGCTGACAAGGATGTGCAGTTTGGGAAGATTTGAATTATTTTTTCATAAAAATTTGTTTTGGTTTAGGCCAAATTCAGAGAATATTTTTCATTATCTTCAGTAACTAAATAAGTGCGGGTTTGTGTTATTTGAATGAGGGTGTACCTTTGTGCCCTCGGTGAACCTGGTGAATCAAAGTTGTAGTTCTCCTTCCAGCCAGTAGGTGGCAGTAGACGTCTGATCATTATGCCGTGACTCCTGTTCATTGTGTTTCTGACCACAGACACAGTGAACATAAGGATTTGGTTAGTGGGGATATCAGAGTGTGATGTAATAGGGCTAGGCAACCCTCAGGGTAAATCGAGTTTCTGTTTGTGTCCGTTTTATGAAGACCAAACCCAAATTTTAAAAACAGTTTGGGGCTGACTTGATATATATGTGGTGTTTCATGAAAGCCTGAATATTTATTGACAGCACTGGGGAATCACTGTAAGTAAAGATTGCAGGCTTAACCTCACTTTCTCTTAGCTGAGAGTTGGATCTTTTCGGGATCAGCTGCTTAACTTGGAACTTAATAAATGGATTAAAAAGCAGAACATTTTGGCTCATTTTGCTTTTTCCTTTTTAGAGTTTAATTACTCCTTTTCCCCCCATTTCTTTTGCTTACCTATGTTTTGTTTTTTTGTTTTTTTGTGTTTTTGTTTTTTGTGTGTGTTTTTTTTCACGGCCCCATCCAAGCCCCTCCCATATGGCTGTGTTCCCCCAGAGAAGCTGGAGGAGAGGTGGCTAGGGATAGGGAGGTCTGGGCTTCTTTGCTTAGGCTGCTGGCCCCGGATAAATGGAGGAAGATGGATGGATGTTTTTTTGTTTTTTATTCCTATACATTTTTTATTTTATTTTTTATTTTTGTAAATTTTTGCTCCGACTTAACTCTACCTAGTAGCCCAGCTTTGGGCCAAACGACTCTAGTTTCTATATTTTGCTTATAGTTTTGATGATAAAAATGCTAAAATTACTCACTTGAAACAAAAGAAATGTTTATACAAAGGCTTGTAACACTGAGGCTCCTCTGACGCTCCCCTCCTCCTCTGCTGACACATTTTGTGACACCAATTCAGCACAAACTGTGTCATTCAGCATTTGTGACCAGTATTTCATAAAATTTTCAATAAGCTGATCGTTGTTGCTCTCAGAAACATAACCCAGACACAGTGTGTCCATTCTGTGTCGCTTCATGCGCGTGTTTGTGTGTCTGGCCGGGTCTTAACACAGGCTCTCTGTTATCCCGTCACTCTGCTGTCGGCATATCCACCTCCAGTTGCCGCCGACAAAGGCTGCCCAGTGGCTTCGACCAGCAATGCACCACAAACGCACACACAGTCCGTGCCCCAGTGTGTGCCAGTAGACAGTGGAGTAGCTGTGCAGCCTGCCAGCTCTCAGTGAGGGCCACTTTGTTTCACCTCTGGCTTGGACTCATGCCAGACAATCTGAGAGTCAGTCACTGGGTCAATTAATGAAGTAATTGAATTGGGAGTTTATAGTTATTCAGTGGAGCTTTTTTTTATCATTTTTTTTCCTATGTGAGGTGCTTTATTGCTTTCTATTCCAGTGTTCGCTTATGCAAGTCAATGTCACTGCCCGTGTGAAATGTTGTCTGCCATTCAAGTACCCTGTTTGTCTGCTGCAGCATCAATGATCAGCATTTTAATGGGGTGTCTATGGGCTCTTAAAAAGTCTTAAAATGTCTCAAAGTATGCATTTACTAATAAAAGGCCATAGAAAATTCAAATTCATTTTGGATGAGTCTCAAATGTCTTTAGTCTCACCACTGTGAGATTTTTCCAGCACACAATGCTGTTGTTTTGTCCCTCTGTACACATTTTAGATTGTGCACTGGGAGTGCATCATTGAGGCTGTGCTTTACACATCAAAAATCCCCTTTTCATGTTCTTTATATGTGTGAAAAAGCAGTTATGACGATTTGTCCTGTGGCCTGCCAGGCTTGTAATATACTGAGAGGAATCCTGTGGATGAGGATGACAAAGGAGGCTTCGCTAGCCTCACTGGCCAATTTACATAACAATAATCTTCTTAAACTTAACCAAACAATGCAATTTTTGTCTTACTTTCCTTAAAAAGGTCTGAATTTACCTTGAAATTTCAACTTGAAAGTGAATAATGGTGAATAATTTTGTTGGATCTAAATCTGTTTCAATTTTATTCAATTAAAAAAATAAGTAATGTTGCGGTTGGTTGATTTGAATATTGAGTAAGGGCTTCTTTTTAAGCAATCAGTGTGGCCTGAGCTTTTAAAGCCTTTGTTAAAGAAGGAAATCAATAATTTACAGGTTCCATTGTTTCAATAATCTTTTGGTTTTCTGTGTTTTATACAGTAAAAGTTTCTTTGACTTCTGGATTATTTTCTTGATATAACAGACATTGACTGTCACTTTTGGAAACAGTTTTGAGCATTTCTCATAATTTTGTAATATTTTACAGACAAAATGGAAAATAGGAAGGGGGGGTTATTAAGAAAAGGATGGCTGAATGGACCGATGACGAAGATGAACGACCCTTTTGTGCCATCACTTTGAAGCTAGAGCTGCAACTACCATTTTATTTTCACATTATTTCACATTTTCATGCATTTCACACTAAATTGTAATTAATCAACTTCCAGAGTGCAAAGAGACATTAAGTCATATTTTATCTGAGCACTGGTCCAAACCCTGGACAACTTAGAGTTGAAGTTGGTGGAACTATGAGTAGAAACTGTTTGTTTGGTGTGGCTACTGCCAGTTAATTTTCTATCGATCACTTCTCTGATCAATAAGCTAAAATATGTATGTTCTTCTTTTTCAGGACCTGGAGATCGTCTACTCTTATCTCCATGGGATGGAGGCCTTATCCAACCTGCGAGAGCACCAGTTGAGGTGAGTCTCTGCACACCTCCCCTGTACTTGATTAACATTTCCTGAAGCTTGATATTCCCATTGCATGAATTTAAAATTCAAATGAATGCGTGGTGACAACTCCTCAGTGTATGCTGCATTGTTGTCAGGGGTGGGAAAATTAACATTCAACCACTAGCTATGCTGTATGCTATTGAGCTACTTCTATTTTTTTGTAATCCAGGAGCCAGTGTACCGTCCAGCAGCATACTTATTGGAATTTATTTTTTAGACTATAATTTACAAGTGCAGTTATTACTATAATATATGGTCGGTCTCTAGCATCTTAAACCAGCATATTTATTATTCAGTTTTAAGTACTTCTGGCCCTTGAGTCTTTCTTCATAACACAGAATAACATATGTTCATTCTTCATATATTAACTGGCTGGAACGTCATTTTTAACAAATGGACATAAATATCACTACATTTTAGTGAGCTTCTCATTTCAGTCAAGAATGTATTTTGTAATATTTCTTTAAAGTTGACCTGCTTTTCTCATTTTCAGTTTTTGACATACAGCTTATTTTATGATGGATCTCGATGGTTTGAGTTGGTGCACCAGCTGAAATGAGCCATTTTGGCTCCTCTGTCTTCTCAAGAGGACAAATAAAAGGACTTTTCTCCTCCAGATAAAAATAAATGATACTTGCCATCAGACTCTTAAATCTTGATTATTACCAGCCTCAATACCACTTATCCATGCCAAGCTTCTAAAACTGCAGAAGTAATTTTTTCTCTTCCCAGTTGTATAAATCTCTGTTTGAAACTTTAGCCAGCATCTAAAATATCTGCTATGACTAAACTGTAAACTGACTAAATGACTAAAGCGAAGTCATTGTTGCACTTTTCCCCTAATAATCTGTACCTATACCTGACCGGGTCCCCGTGAGGCCATACTCTGCTTAAACCTTGAAGCAATGAGCCCTCCCTGCTCTACTATTCATGCGTCAGTTTGCCTTTGGCTCCTCCATCTTCTCTGCCTGGCACACACTTTCCAAACACTGCATGTCAGAAGTCTGTTCCCAGCATGCCTCGTGTGCATACATGTGGATTATACTAGCAAGGGAACAATGTGGCGGTGCATGACCCGCGAGCTAGAACATTCCACTGTGTGACCCCTCAGAGGCCTCCAGCACTAACCCCTCTCCCTCCTCCTTGTTTTGGATCGTACAGAAAAGGAATGTCCCCGTAGTCCCACAGACCAACCCCTTTTGCCAACTTCAGTTTCAGTAACTTTAAAAAAAAAAAAGAAAAGGAAAAAAAAGCTTCTAGCCAGACATCCCACTAACGATGGGATTATATTATACTTCTGTTGTCTGAACATTTTGGGAGGAATGTGTTGTTTTTCTTCTGTGATCCTTTTTCACAGTAACTTGTTTTTCTTGAGCTGGGATTGTTTTTAGGTCTTTGTATAAAGAGGCTACAACATGCTGTCCACCCGCAGCTGTTTTTGAAAGCGCTTGTGTTTTGATCAGTTACTGTTTACTACAGTGGTTTGCATGTACTGTTGAAGAGCGTTTGTCTTCTCTATACAGGCATCTGGGGAAAGCCTGACATGAATGGACTTAAAGTGAAAATGTTTCGATTCCAGAATTTAGAACATAAAAAAATGAAATATATATAAAGTTATAAAAAAAAACTTGCTGCACAAAAAGAATACAAGAAGCTGTGAGGCTGGATTTTTCAGGGCAGAGTTATGTTTACAGATTATAATATTATCAAATATATTTTTTTGCCTCTGTACAGGCAACAAGAATGCCAGACTGTCTGTTCTTCCCAGGCCCAGAAGCTGGATATATCAGAATTCCTTCAGGGAATTCCTTCATATTTGCTACAGACATCCACTTGGACTATAAATCGTGCATAAGACATGCAGATCATGTTTGACACTGTTAAAAAAAAATTAATAAATAAATGTGTAAAAGTACAACTGGGTAAAAATTGAGAAAAAGACCATTTAACCAGTGGTGCAGTGGGACCACATAGTCAATGTGTGCTTTATTTTAGAGGACATACTAATACATACTCACTCTTCTTTTGTTAAGTAAGAAAGTAAATCACTGCAGTGGCTTAGCTTAAACGTAGATGCGTAAAACCTACCTCTTTAGAAAGGAATCTTCCAGATGCAAATGTAAATATTTTACTGAATTAAGTTTAAAAGTAACAATTATGTAATTGGTGATCAGTACGTTTAAATACTATAAAGCATACCCAAATAAAAAAGGAGATTTGTAAAGCTTTAATTTTCAGCAAATTCAATGCCCTGACATAAACAAATGTTTCTCTGCAGTTTGAGGATAAAGATCACCATATTTTATAAGGAACAAGGACTGCAGTCTTTATGTTGTAGATCTGCCTAGAAAAGAAGATTTGTCATACCAGTTATATACCAAGTGTAATTTAACCAAGAAAAATGAGAAAATAAAGAGGCAAAAACAACTCACTTCACCTATCAGCAAAAGCCTCGATAGACCATAATGCACTGCAACAACCAGAACCATACGCTGTGAACCGGTTAACATGGACAACCTTGCAACTCTTTATAACTCCCAGCACTCTAAATTTTAATTATAATCAGCAGCAGGCTTTCTGACTGTCAGTGACTGTTGCTAAAGGTGACTCTAGGATATGCAGAAATTTGCTAGTTATAGATTTATAATAACATAACATTGATAACATTTAATCATAAATTCACTCAAACACAAATATGAGGCCTAACTGTGATTCTTTCTTCCCTCTGTTTCCTCTCTCTCCCTCTCTCTCTCTGCAGGATCATGTGTGAGACGGTGCGTTATGAGAGACATGAGGCCAATGAAGTGCTATACTAGTAAGTACTGTTTCTGTCTGCTTGGGTATTCATAATATTTGTCCAGAGCCGCATGAACAAAGCAAAAAAAACAATGGGTAGACAATGTAACAGTATTTTCAGTTCTTTGTAATCAAAGCACCCTTTTCTTCAGGATACAAATCGGTGTTATTGATGGGAAGAAACATGCCAACTGCGTACAGAAGAGTAACCCCAGTGACTTAATAAAAATAAATGTCATTAAAGTGCAGAAGCAGTATGAGGCAGATCACTCTATAGCACAACTGAAGGATAGCGAACATAGAAATTATATCCAGTCATATTTCAGTGCGATTCAATAAGTGACTGATCTAAATTGTCAACAAAAGCTGGAATAGCTCTTAAAAGCATTTTCTTCAGTTTGGAGAGAGCCAGCAAGGCACTAGTGGTGATGCTTACATGCTTCCTCCTGTGAGCTATCTGTTTGGAGGGTTAATGTGATCAGAAAGCTGCATTGACAGCTTTCAGAGAGCGTGTGTGTGTGTGTGTGTGTGTTGGATCCATTTTGAAAAAGCTGGCACAACTGTGGTAAGCACAAAACACACACAGTGTTTGACTGCTGTCACGTATCTAAGTCTTCCAAACACCCAGAGTGAGAATTAAGACAGTTAATTAACTCTGTCAGTGTCTCGGGGGGCTACAGAGGAGGCAACATCCCTTTTCCAGCCTTCGTATCCCCCGTGTGCGTGTGTGTGTGTATGTGTTTGTGTGTGTTGATGGATGGTGTGGAAGAGTCAACACCTCATTAGAAGCCCACTTGGCAGTGGGGGAGCTGATTAAACAATAGGAATGCAGACTAAATGGTGGCCACAGTACAGTCCAGCTTCAGCAAGATTCCTTTAGGTGCCCCACACCACTTACTGTACACACACTCAGAAACACTTCTCAAGGAAAAACACAGCTGTCCCGTCGCAGTGTGGACACACGAAAACGCAGACTTTCTAAAACGATGACATATTTTAGTCATGTGATGCAGTCATGTGACCAAATAAACAAAGATAGCAGAGGGCATTATACAGCGGTTGTTTTGATTCCTCTCGATTTTGACTGCCCTAAAAAAGATGAATATCAGTTTGTACATGCTCCAGATAGCTTTTCTTCTTTAACTCTCAATCGCTTTTGCAACTTTGTACTTTTGTGTTACTTGCAGCAACAACGCCACCTCATTGTTAGTCCATTTCAAAAACTCGGTGCTTTTCCTCAACATTTTGCCGCGATGTTTCAAAGTCCTGAAAAGTAAATAAACGGCACACAGAAATGAGGCAGGTCGAATCGTCTTGCGTTTCACGCATGCGCAGCGCTGGAACGTTTTCGGCCGTTTCGATGTGGACGCACAACTCTGTGAAAACGACTGAAAACGATAGTGTAATGCGGATGAAAACGCAACTTTCAAATATAGCTTTCAAGTATAATATACGTAACTTTATATTGACATAAGCAGTTAATTAGCTCGTTCACTTTTAACCTAAGTTGTTAAAATGTATTTTTAATGTCATCATAGCCCCTTACAGTAACTGTTTGCAAAGTCATCATTAATAAATGTTAAACCTGACTGCTTTTTATTGCTTCAGAAAAACCAAATTATTATTATTTTATTATTACTAGTAATGTGTGGTTAACACATTCTCTGACTGGACTGACAGTATAGAGGTTGCAGTAGTGTTAATGCTATTTAAATAGCAATAATTGTCTAAAATAGTTTGAAGTGTTGCTGAAAATGAAATGTCTTGTACATTTTGAATTCCTTACTTTTGTCTTTGTGTAGGCCTTTGCAGGTAATTGTACTGTTATGTGCTTTGTTGGTTGTGAGGTTATGTTAAAACTGTTAACATAACATAAATCTGCAGTTGAGTATGAGTAGGCACTTTATATGGTGGTGGTGACATAAATTACAAAATTTCAAATCAAATCAAATCAAATCACTTTTATTGTCACATCGCATGTGCAGGCACACTGACACAGCACATGCGAGTGAAATTCTTGTGTGCGAGCCCCACAAGCAACAGAAATGTGCAAACACAACAACACAAACCAGCAAATACAAGAATGGCTACATCTGAAACTAATAAATATATGTAC